GGGAACGGTTGTTCATCCAGAGGGTGTTTGGGGTGGAAATTAGGGAATGGTCGTTCACCCAGAGGGGTGGAAATTAGGGAACGGTCGTTTATCCAGAGGGGTGGAAATTAGGGAATGGTCGTTCTCCCAGAGGGTGTTTGGGCACCGGAAGAGGCTCCACACGGTCCCGGGAGCTCCAGGAGTGTTGGGACGACGCTCCCAGGGAATTCCTGGGGCCGTGCAGGGCCGGGCAGCCGGGCCGGATGATCCCAGCGTGTCCCTGCCCTGACTGTGTGATTCCCTACCCCAGGTGTTGTCCCCCAGAGCGCTCCCCCCGTGCCCACGGCCTCGTCCCGCTTCCACTTCCCTCCGCTGGACGCCCACTCTCCCACCGAGGATTCCCAGCCCGGGGGCCGCTTCCCCGGCGGTTCCCTGGGCCCGGGATCCACCCCGGAGGCTCTGGGGGACGGCGGCGGCGGCGACAGGAAGCCGGAGGTGCCGGAGCTGCTGGAGGATTCCTCCTCGGATTGGCGCCGGGGGGGAGTGGATCTGCTGGCCCCCCACGCCGGCGGCGGCGGCGGCGGGAGCGTCGCCCACCCCAAGCGCAAGCCCGACATCGTCCTGCCGCTGTTCTCCCGGCCCGGGATGTTCCCGGATCCTCACAGCCCCTTCGCCGTGTCGCCGCTGCCGGGCCGCGGGGGGGTCCTCAACGTGCCCATCTCGCCGGCGCTGTCGCTGACGCCCACCCTGTTCTCCTACAGCCCCTCGCCGGGGCTCAGCCCCTTCACCGGCAGCAGCTGCTTCTCCTTCAACCCCGAGGAGATGAAACACTACCTGCATTCCCAGGCCTGCTCCGTGTTCAACTACCACCTGAGCCCGCGGACTTTCCCCCGCTACCCGCTGGTGGTGCCGCCGCTGCAGTGCCAGGTGCCCCTGGAGGAGCAGCCCCAGTTCCCCATCAAGCTCCAGCCGCCTCCCGCCGGCCGGAAAAACAGGGAGAGGCTGGAAAGCGCCGAGGAAGCGGCTCAGCTCAGGGTGAAGGTGGAACCCGCCGCCGACAAGGAGCCCCCCCGAGGAGGCCACCAAGGGCAAGGACGGAGGAGAGAGGAGGGAAGAAGGTTCCGGAGCGGAGGAAGGGAAGTTGGGGCCGGTGTTCGCCCGCCCGGCCGCCCCGTCCTGGCTGCCCCCGGCACCCACCCAGCCCGGTGCGTCCTCCTCCTCCTCCTCCTCGGAAGAGCCCCCGGAGCAGCCGGGGGAGAGCGGCGTGGATAAACCCCCCCGGGATCCCTGCGGAGAGGCGGGAGCTCAGGAGAAGAGGGAGGACGCCCTGATGCCCCCGAAGCTGCGCCTGAAGCGCCGCTGGAACGGGGACAGGCAGGCGGAGCCGCCCGAGGAGAACGGCCTCTGGAACGGCCCCAACAACATCCCCAAGGCCGTGGCGGCCGCCGCCGCCTCCGACACCTAATCCCGGGATCTGGGGAGAGCATCCAGGGATTTATGTAGCAGAGGTTGTTGCAGAGCGTGGGGAGGGGAGCGGGGAGGTGGGGTGGGACGGGTGGGACGCGGGGGGGGGTGTTAGAGCCTGGTTTTGGGAATTCTAGGAATTCTGGGGAGGGGTGGGAGGGGAGGGGGGGGTTGTGTTCTCTTTGTTTTCGTTGTTGACTCGCAGGTGAGACGCCGGGGGGTTGTTCCCGCTCCGGGGTTGTTCCCGCTGCTCCGGGGTTGTTCCCGCTGCTCCTCCGTCGTCATTCCCGGGCTTTCCCGGCTTGAGCTCCGGGCCTGGCACGGACTCCTGAGGGGGGTTGAGGCCTTTTCTTCCCCGGGGATGGAGGAATTCCAGACGTGGTCTATTTTGGTGTTTATAGCAGCAGGAATCTCCAAATCCATGTAATTCCCTGGGGGTTTTTTTTATATATATATATATATATATTTCCACGGAGCGTGCGATGGCGGGAGAGGAATTCCCGGCTTTGCATCCGCCTCTGGAGCTGAGGGGGGGACTGGGATGAGGGAATATTGCACTGTCCTTGGAGCAGGGGGAAGGATTCAGGAAGACACGACTGAGAAAATCAGGATGCTGCCGGAGCGGGAGAGCCGCTCTCTCTCTCTCTCTCCCTCTCTCTCTCTCCCGGAGAGGGATCCGCATTCCCGGCTCTCCGGGATCTGCATTCCCGGCTCTCCGGGAGATCCTTCTTTTCGCCTTGTTTTTTGTGTTTTTTTCCTGCAGAAGCCATGAGCAAAAACTCTTCAAATCCTTCAGGGAATTGGGAGCGGGAACGGGATGTCAAAAACTTAACCCAATGCCTTTAACAGACGCATTAAAATGTACCCGGGGCGAGGGGGGTTTTTTTTTTTTCCCAAAAAACCCCCCTTCCCTCCCTTCTCCCAAATCGCGCGGGTGGAATTTGGGAGCGACGGGAAGATTGGAACGTCGGAATGATTGTGGTGGAGCGGGAATGCCGCCGGAATCGCCCCGGGAATGCCGGGAGCCTTGGTGACTCCATTCCCTTTGTTCGGATCCCCTATCACCTTGACTCATGCCTTAAACTACGTGTGGACTTGGATCCCGGCGGGATCTGGCCACGGGAGCGCTTGGATTTCATGGGTTTTCATGGATTTTCATGGATTTTCATGGATTTTCGTGGATGTTGCCCCCGATGCCGGAGCGGCGGCCGCGTCTCCCGGCGTAAATCCCGCTGTATTTTTTGCTACAATCCTCCTGTTTCCCTACTCGGCCACATTCCCTCGGGAATGCGCTCCCATCCCGGCATCGGGATGAACCCCTCGATGATTCCTCGGAAAGGAGCTTTGGGAAACCCGCCGGTCTCTACGAGGACGGAGCCGCATCCCGAGGGGAGGATTCCCAAGGGGAGGATTCCCGGGGGAGCTGCTCCCGGGGGAGCGTCAGGAGCACAGTTTGGAAGTGGAATTCAGGCAGGGATTCGGGGCTGCTGGGATGAGATGCCGGGAGTCGGAGCGATCCTGGAAGTCGGGAGCGATCCCGGGAGTCGGGAGCGATCCCGGGAAGTCGGATCCTGTGAGACCTGGATGGGCTCTGGATTCCCGGAGTGTGGAGGAAAACGGGATATGAGGAGCCTTTGGATCATCTCCCCCCCCCCAACCCTGCAGAGGGTGTCCAGGAGTGAACTCAGGAATTAGAAAACACGAGGCCTTTCCCGATTCCCGGCTTTGATCCATATCCTCCAAGTGCCGGAGCCCGTCGGGAATTTGGGAATTCTGGGGCCGGGATCGGCCCCGCCCCTTCGTTCGAGGCAAAAAAACAAAACAAAAAAAACCCATAAAAAAAGTAGAAATTGGTTTGCCTTTAAAATTTAAAAGTTTGGAATGATGGAGGGGGGGGGTTGGGGAAGAGGGTGGGAAAAGGGGGTGGGAATTGTTTTTCCATAGCCATTGCACTGCAAAAAAAAAAAGCGGGAGCTCCACGTTCAGGGATAAAGGATTCCCGTTCTCAGGAAGAGCGGATCAGCCACCGGATCGGGGGGGGGGGGCCTCAGAGCCCCCCCCCCCTCGGGATCCCAACCGGACTTCCCGTTGCCTGGAAAAGCCTGGGAAGAGGAGGAGGAAGAGGAGGAGGAAGAGGAGGAGGAGGAAGAGG